CTTGGGTTCAAATCCAGTCACCCAGTCACCCATATGGCAGCTCACAACTGTCTGTAACCCACTTTCGGGGTATCTGAGTCCTCCTTCTGTCCTCTCTGGCCACCAGACACTCAGTTGGTACATAGATATACATGCAAGTGAAACACTCATACACATAAAATAAAATAAGCCTTTAAAACTTAATTTTACCTTGATTGATATAGCTAAAAAGTAATGAACATGATAGTTATACAAAATATTGAATTATTAAAAAAAAAACAGAGTTCACAAGAGATTACAGGAGATTTTTTTTTAATCAGACTAAATTCCTGCCTTAAACCAGTACAAGATAAAGACAGAGGTGTCCTGTCAGTGTCTGCCAAATAGCCCTCAGAAGGGAGCTTCTGAAATGTGGCTACACAAAAAGAGCCCATGATTCATTGGCTTGGGTGTTTCCCAAGTTTAATCAACAGAGAAGTTTTGAAGGGACTAGAAGGTTGGAGTGTGTGACCTCAAGGTGTATTCTCATAGTCCAACAGGACTGAGAACGGAGATCTCAGGAGTTCCACTCACCAAGGATACTTTCCATAACACTTGAGATTGAGTCCAGACAGAAGCAAGGGGGGTTGGGGGGGACCTAGAAATCCTGCACCTCATCCCACCTCACCAGGAGCCTGCTTCACCTATCCAAAATACATGGCAGCAGTATGATCCTCCCAGTGTAGTCCTCCCAGTGTGATCCTACCAGTGTGATCCTACCAGTGTGATCCTCCCAGTGTAGTCCTCCCAGTGTGATCCTCCCAGTGTGATCCTCCCAGTGTGATCCTCCCAAAGTAGTCCTCCCAGTGTGATCCTCCCAGTGTGATCCTCCCAGTGTGATCCTCCCAGTGCGATCCTCCCAGTGTGATCCTCCCAGGGTGATCCTCCCAGATCAAGTCTTTAAACTAACGCACACACTGCTCTAGTGGGGGTGGAACAGTATCATCTACCCAACTTAGTTTTTGTTTTTTCTTTGTTTTATTTTGTTTTGTTTTGTTTTGTTTTTTAGCAAATTCTGCAGAGACAATGAGGCTCAGAGAAGTCCCCAGCCTTCTGAGGATGTCCTTTAGCCTCTCTGGAGTGCCTTCATGTGGCTGTCACTGCTGCCTCAGAGATGAGCTCCCTGTGACAGCCGCTGTTCTATAGAGGGCCGAGCAGGATCCTCTGTTGTAAAGGGTAAGTTTTGGGGACAGGAAGGTCCTGTGCTGGCAGGCCAGACAAATTCATCTTCATATCCAGCTAACTGCAGAAGACTACACATTACGTTTTTCTCTGAATTTTCTCCTTTATAAGTAGATCCTTGGGCTCCTCAGAAAGTTAGATGTGCAACAACCATGTGTCCCCCAAATCCAGTCAAACCGGGTTTGAAGCAGATCCTTCTCCATCCAGGTTGACAGCGGTACAATCCATAGCAGCCACAGGTAGGGGCCATAGAAGATGAGCAGGTCCACAAGGGAGAATAAGACATAACCATGAAAACGTATGAGGTTCTAAAAGACGTGAACACATGTTGACATTCACATGAACCGAGTCAGATCCAAAGGGGACAATCATTGGGCAATGATGCTCAGATAGAAAATTATGCAGGCTGGGGAGACGGCTCAGTGAGTAAAGTGCTTAGAACTCAAGCGTGAAGACTTGAGTTCAAATCCCATAACCTCCTAAATGCACATCTGTGGTTCTGTATCTGACAGTAAGATGGTTGACAGTAGAATAGGAATCTCGGGGCAGCTCTGAGGAAGTATGTGCACACTGAGGACCAACACTCAAGGTTGCCCCCACCCCATGAACCCAATGACACTTGTACAACCACACTCAGACTCACACATGTACACACAAGTCAAGACACACCCACATAGACTTATGGAAAAATAAAACAGTAAGACACAAGAGTAGCAAAGGACTCTGGACCTGTTTTGGCTGACCTTCCCCATCTCAGTGACATGGGTCCTCAGCTGATTACCTGGCCTTCTAGTGTGCCATGCTGAACAGTTCTAAGTAGAGGTATCCCTGCATGCTAGGCCCGCATTCCACCAGCTCAGGGCGAGCAGACCGTGGGACACGATGTCTGTTGCTGACAAAGGCAATTACCCAGCCAAACATGGAGGAACTTATTTTTTTTTCCCCTAGTTGTGAGCTTTAAAAATCATTGCATCTAGAAACTAAATTTAAAATGCAATCATTGGGAAGTAATTAACTTTGTCCAAATGAGGGCCGTTCAGAACCTGCTCTCTTTAGAGACAATATTGAGCCTAGTGGTTGTTTTTTTTTTCTTTGCTTTGTTATGTTTTGTTTTGCTTTGTTTTTTTTTTTTCAATAAAGTTTTTACGGTCAAATCACTATTTTTTTTTAAACCTGATTTGATACATTTGGATTCTTTCCAAGAACTCTGCCAAGGCCTTAAGAGTTTTGCCCTTCCATTTGTGGGGGAGGAAACGAAAGTCTCGTTTCTGTAAATCAAGAGAGTTTGCATCCACAGGAAGCAGTGTTAGGCATATCTGTCTCCAGCCAGAAAAGACAGAGACAGCATCGAGAAGACCTGGGCCCGGCTCTCCCTCCAAACTAAACATTGGGCCTACAGTCTCTAAAACCGCCTATTGCAGGAGGAAGGCAGGAGAGAAGGAAGGGGTGAGGGGAAGGAAGAAGAGAGGGAGGAAAGAGAGGAGGGGAAAGAGGAGAGGTGAAGGAGGAAAGACTGGAGAGTGTGGGGATGTGGCGGTTGGGGGTGGGGAGAAAGGGAGGATTTCACAGACCCCTGACTGATGTCAACCTAACAGGGTCTCTACATGATTAACTCACCTGCATAATTCCAGACTTCTTACCATTCTTTTGTTTTTCCCCATTTACCAAGTAAGGCAGCCTGACTCAGTGACCCAAATACCCTGTGCACAGCTGGCCAGATGAGTGGTCAAGGTCAAAAATCATCAAGCAAGGAAAGTAGACTGAGCCCAACAGCAGCTCTCCCCCCCCCCCAACCCCCCCCCCCCCCCCCCCCCGCATCTTCCTGTTTCTTTCTGGGAACTGTAAAGTCCCTGCTTACTGTGGAAGGCTCGCCTGCATGTGATGTTTCCCAACTCTTAAAAGCCTCTCTGCCTGTCTCCAGTGATGATAGAAAGAAATGCCAGGCTGTCTTGGAAGGCCACCTGGAGGGGAATTCTGAATGTGTCTAAGGCTGTGCAGTCAGGGCTGAATTCCTGACTGCCCTGTTCCAAACACAAGGGGTGGGGGTGGGGGGCATCCAAAGGGTTGACTGATCTTTTCCTGTGGCACAGAATCCTGGACAATCTGACTCCTCACAAGTCCCCAGCCCTCTCGGGTTGCCAAGGGAGAACCTGAAAAGAAGGAGAACCTATCAGATATACATTGGCCCCTCGGAGGACTCTCTGTTTAACTCATAATCAAAACAACTCAAACCCAGCTACTGTTTGCGTATCTGCCACGATTCTCCACTTCAGCAGGCTGCAGGCTCTGGGTATGACAGGCTGTCTTTCAGACTCCAGCAGGATCTGCCAAAACCCCAACACATAGGCAACTGAAAAATCAAATACCATTAAGCTAGGACGATCTCACACCTTCCGTTCCCCCATCCTGCCGAGGTCGTGAGGACCCAAGTGTCCAGAGCCCCGCCCACATCCCTTTTTTCAACCATAGCCACCCAGAGCCCCTAGGACATTCTCAGTGCATGGATAAAAAAAGAACCAAGGAGAAGAGGGGATACCGTCTCATCAATAGATGAAGGAGCCTCTCAACTCAAATAGACTCAAAAAGGGAAAAAGAAAGGAAGACCCTCATTTTTAAGTGTTCCCAATCTGCAGATAACGTTAGGTGTTTAGATTTGCCGCCAAACATAATTGAAAATAAAATAGGCACTGAATGCACGGGGCACATCTTTCGATCTCACACCCTAAAAGCTTCTTGTGAAACTGAAGGCAAGGTCCTTTTCCTAGGAAAAGGGTCAGCTTTTTACAGCCTCTTGGTCCTTCCGGGAAGTGGACTGGACCTGGCAGGTTCAGCTATAGTTCTAGCTGTTGGTGCTGATTACCGTACAGTTATTAATGAGTAGGCATTGTTTGGGCTGTGATTTTGACTATAGCCTGCTGATTTAATGGCTCACACCAAGTTTAGGGAGTGCAGCCTTCACTCTTAATTACGGAACCGCGGCTGTGCTCCCATAACTAAAGACAGTCAGCATACCTATGAAGACCTGACAGAAAGCACCATATAGAAGGCAAAAACAGCACACTGACGCAACAGCCCAAAGGCAGGGTACCAGAAAGCCATCGCCCGATGCTACCACGTTATCAAAATTTTACTTCTAGGAGACGAGGCATTTATTTATTTATTTATTTATTTATTTATTTATTTATTTTAGGATTTCTATTTTTCAGATGCTGGCAATCAGAGCACTATAACTTTGAGTTTTTGAATGATGGGTAGAGAAATTCTGGTGAGAAAGAGACTGTCCGTGTGCTGAAAGTCCTGTAGAAGGGTACAGTAGGGCTCTGTACCTGGGCTAGCAAGCAGGTGGGGCTTGCTGGGACCCCCACCACCACCACCTGCCTGAGCTGTGCACAGATCCTGCAGTCAGTCTATGCATGGCTGTGTGGTCTCTGAGAGCATCCCTCTCCCTGGTGCCCTGGCAGGGCCTGCCTGAGGAAGACAGTGCTACAGACACACCCACCCAGGGATGTGGGCCACCCTGATATATATGGCCACTCATGTTTACCATCATTTGGTGGGATCTTTTACAGACCCAGGAAGAGAAAGAGAGATTTGATTACAACCTCTTGGATCTAGACAGGGAGCCCTGGCCGGTCCTTATCAATCTAAGCCTTGAGCTGTCTTTTCTAGATTCTCAGTTACATTGGGAAGAAATGAGTGTAATTTACTAATCTGCAGTTATCCATTCTCAAACCAGCAACGTTTCCAAAAGAGATGAGATTTCCGGTTCCACCACGAGTCTGATTACCTGATGGACAATCGCCACCTTGGGAAAGCAGCCGAGAGATTCCGGCTTGCCAATCTGAATTAGCTTGACAGGTGAATTCTTGTTCTGGTCCCATTGTTTCATCTGGGGAATCTGTGGGTGAATTTGAGCTATTCTGAGTGTGTGTGTATTTTCAGAGCTTGATATCAGGGTGGCTCAGGCCTTGAGAAATGCTCACAGTCACACTCCTTAAATGTCCAGTGTTGCAGCCCGTGAGGGCCTCGGCCCAGGCTCATAGCCTTTGCTGGCAAAGGCTGTTTACAGTCAGGGCCTCATTGCTATGCTAATGCCCAGAGCGGCCTCAATTTGCAATTCTCCCCTGGAAATGGTATTCAGAAGTCTGCTGCTACACTGTTCCAGTCTAGGTGGAGGATGCTGGGAATTTTTTTTTCTTCCTCTTCCTGGCCAGGCAGGTAAAATAAACTTACCTCTGGTGACGGTAGACACACATCACCTCCCTGAGGCCTTCTTGGGGCTGCACAGGAAGACCCTTGCAAGGCCAGGTTAAAATACTGATACTGCCCTTTTCAGAGCAGGAGGTAAGGGTGAGAAGGCCCAGTTCTATCTGCAAATTGTTATCCACAATTACAAATTTCTAGTCTTTTGTGCAAATGATGATCCCGTCGAAATGTCTTCCCTAAGCATCGGGGGAAGGGTTTGCTAGAGATAACCCCTTTTCTTTGCCTGTGGGAAAAAAAATAAACGTAAAGTTTACCCTGGAATCAAATGATTAATGAAATGTGTTCAGTATACCCAAGCTGTTCACCATAATAGAAGAATAGTTTCGATGTTTGGCGTCCTGAAGTCATGGATGGCAATTGGAAAAAAAAATTTTTTTTTTTTTGGAGAGGCCAAAAGGGCTGAGTGATTAAAGGGTTAATATTCAAATCAGAAATTTGCAAGGCCTGCATAATGGGAGCGCCACCCTCATAACAATAGGAATTTTTAACAATATCCAGCCCTTGTTAGCAAGAGAGTTACAAGCACCGAGGGCAATCAGTGTGTCTTGTCAGTTTCTTTTTATCTACCATCTCCAACCGCCGAGGAGCCGAAATGAAGCACTTTGGAATTATCAATTTCAGCCACATTTGCATAACAAAGCCCCCGAGGAAGAGGCATGATAAATGTAAAGGACCCCTCTTGGAAAAGGAACTGTCAACCGCGCCCCGAAAGATTCTCCGACCGACTGCATTCTCCCGGACCGCAGTCAGCGAAAATAGAAAGAAAGCATTAAAGAAAGTCATTCTCTCAGAGAGAAAAATCTCCCCCTCTGCACAGACAGCGCTGGATGAAATGACATTATGCATATGAAAATGTCCAGAAAGATGTTTGATTTATGTATGCATTAGATGCAAATTCCATTACGGTGCGCGCGCTGTTGTGTGATTTGGCGCTGAACACATCAGCGCCCTGATCAGATCTGATCTCATTAATTCCGACAAGGAGAGAGAGAGGGAATTGAGAAGAATTTATGGCCTGGACACTTGAAAGAAGTAAATTGTAATTCTGTTTAAAGCTGTAGCGAACCCTTTAAACACCTTTTATTATAAGAAAGCAGTACTCACTTTCCCAACATTGTAAGGACTTACTTCATCTTGTGTGGGGGCTTCTGGTCTTCAATTAGGGGACCAAAAGAAAAAAATGCTATAACCTTATTTAAAGGGAAACAAAAGCAAATAAAAATGTCTCTTTTGGAGCAAATTCCAGCAAAAGGCTCGTGACACTAGATCAAAGGAGAAACGGTTTTTGCAAACGTTTGGGTAAATGTTTGGCTCTAAAGGTCTCCTCTGCCTTTTTGTTTGGTTGTTTGGTTTCGTTTGGAGGTTTAATATTTTCAAATAAGACACTAAAGAGTAAATGGGGATTTTTTTTTTTTAATGGAGCTAGGTAACCAATTCACATTTTTAAAACGTCTTTAATTGCTTTACGGAGGAAGGTGCTACGGAAAATATTCCAGGAGCGATTACAGTGGGAAAAGTTGTCTTTTGAAAGCTCGAGGCACCAGAACCACCTGCAAAGATCAGTCAATTTCAGACCCAAATTAATAATCATCATGATAATCACCCAACTGCCAAAACAGTTTTCAGAGAAAATATATTTTTATAGGGGAAACTGCGGATTGCTTCTCACTATCAATACTGATTTCTTATCTTCCCTTTGCCTAGGAACACGACCTTTATAAGTCGCTTCCTCCTCTTAGGACCTATAATCACCCTTCATGGGTGAGATGCCCTATATTTACTCCAGAGGGAGTGAAAAGCAGAAAGTGTCTCAATATGTTATTGCATCAAGAAATCATGGTCCCTCCCCCAGCTTTCATGACCCCCCGGGGTGCAGCTTTGCCTGGGAGAGTTCCGCTCGCCTCGCGCGCCTTTCATCTTCCAAGGCTGTGATTAACTGTCTTCTCCGGGCCGGAGGTGGGGGGCAGACGCTGGCTTCGGAAAACCTTAGTTACCGATCATGTTTGATTTCAGATGGAAATGAAGATATCGAGACGGCGTGCTCCCGGGTGCAGCTTTTTCAGCTGGGGTAGAAATCACTGTTGGGTTTAGGAAATAAACGATCCCAATTGATGCCGCAAAACTTAGACTCGACCAGGGATAAGCAGCGTTTGGAAGGGCGAAGGGGGTTCGGGACCAGGTAAATCTGCTTAAACTTCACATTGTCAAAGGCTAATCTCCAGGTCATTCCTGATTTCTGCCCTAGTCCTAAAAGTATCTCCT